CTTTATTTCTGGAGTCTGCAATCCAGCATATAGAAAGGCACCCAGGACTCCTATATATATATATATATCTCTGTATTCTGAGACTTTCCTGGTCAAACTGGGAAGGGTGGGCACAGGCCACATGAAAGTGATTAGGGGGAGGGCAAAAATGTCCTGTGGATCAGGAGCTTGAGAACTCTACAGGAGTACAACACATTGCACCCAACATGTTGTGCCTCAAGTGTCACTTTAAAAATCATCCAGAAATATATCCCATAGCAAATATGAACTCCTAGGTCTGATAAAAATAAAAACAAGACATTTTATACTTTTTAATGAACGTTTTTATATATAAAATTGTAATATTACATGCATACAACAATTTTATAATATGGCCAAACAAAAAATGGATTAAACTTAATTCTGGTGTTATGACCTCACAGCAAGCTTCCTAACAGTATAATGTCTAACCATGCACTGGGACATTACGTCTGTGCATGTAGTCTGGTAAAGATAACCAACAACAAAATAAAACGTTAAAGACTTAACTCATCAATAACAAAATTATAGAGTAAACCATGAAAAGCATGCAGGATTATTCACTGAAGTGAGAATGAAGTACAAAGTAGCCAAATTGGAAGAATAGGAAGTTGTCACAGTTTGGCCTACAATTTGAAATTCAATTGAAATCCCCACAGGTGAATAAGCTTGAAAATATATTTAACACCTAAAGGTTCAATGACCATCTAAGACATCAGAACAATCTGATTATTAGTCCGTACCTCAATCTCTGTCTTTTCTGGTCTACTGTCACCATGCTGAGCAGCACTAGGACTTACAGGTGACAATTGCACTGCTGCCATTTTAACTTAAACCTATCCCAATAATGACATGGCATGAGAAATGTTCAGGGGACAGAAACAGCACAGCTAAGTATCCCCTGTTCGTCTGCAGGTTTATCATCATCAGCGAAGGAACTGAATAAATAGCAGGAGATGCAGATAGAGAGAGAGACTTGTGTCATGATGTTTCCTGTATTTATGCACTAGCTTTTATAAGTATAACTGTACCATTATTGGTATACCTGTTTCTCCCAAGCAAGAAAACAGAATTACTGCAATGTAGCAACAAT